GCCTCATCTCTCACCACTAGATGGGACTTGAGCGTCCCCAAACCACGGGCTCTGAATCCTGGCAGTATATTAAAATCGTCTGGAAGCTTTAAAAAACAACAAAATCAGAGTATCTGGGAGCACAGGTCTGGGCCATGTTTTTAGCTCCCCAGGACATTGTCATGTGTAGCCAAGGTTGAGAAGCATTGCCTTATGCTCCCCCCAACACTCACACATATGCTTACATGTAACTGGAAGGGGAAAAAAAAACCCCAAAGCATAATGCAGGTCTAAGTAAGTGCTACAAAATTCTGATCTTTGAAATGAAAATCACTTTTTACCACCGCTAGAATATTAAATACCCACGTCTTAAATTTAGTGCCACCCTGCTTTACAGGCACCTCAAGGATGTCCTCCGTCTGCCCTGGTCTTGCCCCTCCCACCCTGGACTGTCACCTGCACAGTGGTGGAGGGGCCGGCAGGGGCTCCATGCTGCGGGGCGCAGCGGTCAGCGTGGCCGTGACAGAAGCAGCTCCCCTGCAGGCGCAGCTGAGACACTGCATAGTATGAGCTGGGGGGACGGTAGCCCCTCTGGGGCAGAGGGGCCAGCATGGTGAAGTTGATTCTCAAGTTTGTGATCGCCCCCAGTTCTGAGAGGGGGCAAGCAACAAGGAGGGGAGGGGTTGGGAAAGGAAAATGAAGAAAAGAAGTTAGAGGCACATGGAGTCTCCTATGGCAGGTAGGGAAGGGAAGGAATTGTGGTCTCACTGCGCCCTCAGCCCTGCATTCATAAGGCTATTCCAGGAGCCATCCTCCACAGCCCTCAGCCCTCCCATGGCAGAAAAGACACCCCCACTCCACCTCAGGCCTTTTGAATCTCTGGGGCTGCCACATGGGGTAAGCAGGGCCAGTCTCCCATCCAACCATAATGACAGAAATACGGAAGACCATGAAAGTCCCTGGGTGCCAACCCTGTGTTTGGTTCCCCACCCACAGTCCCACAGGCTAGAGGGGCAGCCACACTGACCTTGAATCTTTTGACTTTGAGTTGCTGGGATCCCAGAAACTAAATTCATAAGGTTAAGTTGGACCTATAGAGAGAGGAAAAGGGAGACACTCAGGAAGATGTAAACCATGTGCCCCAAGCTCCCAGGTCTCCTTTCCATTCAATGCCCTGCTCTCCCGATGCTACGCTGAGGTCCTTCCCACCTGGAACCTGAGACAGCCATGGATGTGAGGCCTGCCAACCACCCTCAGGGACTGAGATGATCACTAGGCCCTAAATGAGTGTGTGAGGTGTGTGTGTGTGTGTGTGTGTGTGTGTGTGTGTGTGTGTGTGTACAATCTCGCCTCTCCATTGAAAATATAGCAATCCCCAAAATTTCCTGATTTCCTTGGGCCAAAAATTACAATAAGGGTTCAGGGGATACTAATTTTCCAAAACCCAGGATGCATGCAAGGACACAGAGCCCAGGGATGCAGGGATGCGGTGACCCCATCATTAAATGAGACTTCATCTCCTATCCCAAGAAGAGTTTTCATATCCACCCTCCACAAGTGTCCTGATCTGGGGTCTGGGGAGTGTGGTTCATCGTGGATCTGGGTGTGATGATCATCAAGGAGCCGTCATTACAGTGCAGCAAAGAGATGCACGGCCCACAGGGACGGCGGCCCTCTGAGCACATGGTGCAGATCCCAGCAGTTCTGAGGGCTGCCCTGAGCCTAAGCCAAAGAAAGGAGGAGGACATACGGCCTCCCACAGCAGCAGGAAAAGCAGCTATGGAAGGAAGGAAAGGATCTGACCCCAGGTGGGAGGACTCAGGGAGGGGTGTTCTGAGCTGTTTCTCGGGGCAGGTTCTCATTTCTAGCTCAGGGTTTAAGTTCCAGTGTCCTGGAGCTGTGGCTGATACCTGAATTTCCTCAAGGGTGACAATGGGGCTAGATAGATGAATTCAATGGGAAAAGTTCATTCTCGTGTTAAACGCTATCGGTGAAATAAGAGACTAAACTAAATTTGTGTAATTTGCTCACTTGGCTCTAACTAGCCATCTCAACGTCCTCACACTGGACCAAAGTCGGCTGTACCTTCTGCACTGTGGGGACATGTCACTGCTCAAGGGAGGAGGCGGCCATGGCAGGGAGCAGGGCTGGGGCCTGCAGCGCGCTCCGTGGGTTTCTGAAATACCCCTCCCGGGCAGCCAAGAGGACAAACAAGCAGCAAATCGCTTCAGGGTGGAGAGCTCAGGAAAGGCAGCAAGGAGCGCTGCCCGGGGTGTTCTCACCTCTTCCCAAGTCTGGGTGAAGGAGCGAGCAATAGGCTGGTGGAGACCCCTCTCCATGGCTACTTTTTCAAGTTTTCCTACCTTCCCTCCATTTAGGTGTGCGTTAGGCCTCCGGGGCAGAGACTGGCACCGAGCATCCTGCCAGCTCTGAGGCTGGCCCTGGCGGACGCCAGGGAAGGCGGAGGAGCAGTCGGCAGCCATGTACTGGTACACGTGCCAGGTCTTGCCGAAGTCTGAGGAGCGCTCGATCAGCATTCCAGCGGGCATGGGCGCCTGAGGAGACACAGACAGGGCGGGGCCTGCGTGACTGACGGGAGGAGATGGGCTCCTACCCGCCTGGAGTCTGTAGGGTGGTTAGCAGCACCCCTAACCTCTACTCACTAGATGTCAATAGTATACTCAGAGCTGCGACAACCAAAAATGTCTCCAGAAATGGCCAAATATCCCCTGGTTGAAACCTCTACAGTAGGTCATAGGCCCCCGCCTGTCTTATTCACAGTTGTACCCCCAGCATCTAGCACACGGGAGGTGCTTAGTCCACATTTGTTGAATGAATAGGTGAGTCTTTAGTTTGCTCTCCCCCTCCCCCGCTTATACCTGTAAACTCATCTCTCACTAGTTTGCAGCCCGCTGCATCTCTATATCTCACCACGAGAGCATATTACCCGCCCCCCTCAGCCTATGTCCATTCCCCTCCCCAATTGTATACCTTCTCATCTCTTGTCCCTTCACATTTACACTTTATTGTTCTGTTTGCCTGGAATGAACTTGGCCCTTCACCAGGCTCTTACTGATCTAGAAAGGCCCATCTTCCCCTGGGTATGTTCTCTGACCGCCCCCCACCCACCAAGACAAGACCAAGCTAGATGCCCCCTCTCCCACGCTCCCCGACGTCTCTTCTTACCAATATCAGAGCACACATCACATTCTCTCACTACTGGTTCTTTGTCTTCCCTGCATAGACTAAAGTAACTCGAGAATTGTGATTTAGCTTTATTCATCTTTTTATCCCTGACATCGGGCATCTCACATATAATCAGGGTTCTATATGTCTGTAGCAAGAATGGACATATACACGAATGGGCAAGTGATAGTAAAACAATAAAACTAACAGTATCCATCCAACTGAATGCTGTCCTTCAAAACTGTCACCTTAGAGATTGGGCATTTACTTAAATGACACTGGTATTTCAAAAAATACTTTCGACCCTTTCTGGAAGGGAGGCTTTTAGAACTAACTTCTTTGGCCACACAAGAAATGAGGTCCTATTGCTTTTCATTCACAGCTCATTTTAACTCCTAAAAATGGTATCGCCCGTCCTGATCATCTAATCTTATTACCCAAACTCGATCCTTAAATGTTTGACTATTTCTGTAGAAAGAATAAAATCAAATCTCTTCCAAAAAGAAAAAAAACAAATGACCTGTCACAAATGAATAAAAATGTTCCCTTCAAAAGGAGTGCCTCAGAAGGCCAGCCTAACAGCAGAATCCAAGAGTGCTCTGAGAAGGAACAGCACCAAGTAAATAGATGGCTCCAAAGCACACCTTTCATGTAGATGGACCGGTTCTTGGCTTTTTTAAACCCAATCTCATCAGCAAAGTTATTAAAACAGAGTACACCAAGAATACACAACTGTACAATAAGTGAGCAACCCAGTAGAATTGGTACTTGCTGAGTTAATTAGATGAGTTGAGGGCGGGGGAAGCAGAGAAGAAGCAGATGTATAAACACTGCATGGCCTGGATGGGGACCCTGGAGGTGCCACTGTTCTCCTTGGAATAAGGCCTCTGCTGTCACTATGATATAGGCTCAGGGTAAGTGTTGCCCAGCCTGGGGAAGGGGGGCCCTCCCAGCACATGGTGTGATCCTCCCCAGCCTGGGCAGACAAGAACTCTGCTGCCCGGGAGTCTAAGCCCACACGGCCCAGGGTCCCTCTTCAATCCACTGCCTCTCCCAAGAAAGCATACCTTAAAATCCATCATGATGCCTTGAAGCTGGAATTTCCTGTCCAGGTCCAGCTGCAGAGAGACAGGGTTCATATCTGGAAGGACAAAGAGTAGGAACTTTAGACCCGAGAATTTGCACCTTCCTAACGGGAAGAAGGCTCTGGACTATACCAGCTCTCGGAAGTCAGAAACCCTCTCACTGTGATGCTCCCATTTCTTTCTCAGAGAGGAATGGCACCAGAATTTTCCTACTTATCTGTTCAAGATCCTATTTATTCTTGGCCAGGTTGCCTTCCCACCGTCAATTTCTGCCCCCAATACCTCAAAGAGTTTCAACTTGTCTGTTCCACACAGACCTGTTCCCAAAGCTCAGTTCCTTCAACAAGCCCACTGTGAGGAAGTGGAGTGAAACAAGGGCATCCCTACCCCTTCTTACCCTTTCTTTAACTTCCAACAAACTCTTCTACCTGCAATATCTGAAAGACCTCAAATATGGAGGCAGGAGTTTCTACTTGTAAACCACCCAGGTCCCAGTGCCGTAAGAAATGCCTGGGAAGCCCAGAGGGAACCCAGGCACCCTCCACCACCCCCACCTATGGGAGCCTCTGTAAGTTTGGGCCCCTAAAGGTGGCAGGCCCTTACCATTCTGTGACTGCCACCAGCGTGTGGGACCTGAAGACGAAACCACGTTCTCCACTCGGTGACTGTTGTAATTGTGAGGCAGCCTGGAGTCACACTTGCAGCATTTCATCTGCCACTGTGGGGTGGGCAGACAAGAGAGACTCAGGGGTGGGGTCCAGACAGAATTCTCCCCTTCGGTCCTCAAAGCCCAGGACACTCCCTCCATGAGAATGCTCCCCCTGGAGATCCATTGACTTCATTCATACACTTGGAAGGATTAACCTCTCAAAACAAGGCTATTGGTCATCTTTTAATTTAATTCCTTTGTATCTGTCCTAACACATAGCTAAGTGAATAGTCCATAGATGTTATGGTTGGGAAAGAGGTATGGGGTGGTAGAAAATCGTTGGTAGATGACACTGCCTCAAAGAGAAACTTGCAAAGGGGTGCCAAGAAAAAAAAAAAGAAGGAAAAGAAAAGAAATTCCCATTAATTTAGCATCTACTATGTGCTAAATGCAGGCTACAGAGTTTTACATCTCATCTCACTTAATCCTGGCAGCCTGGGGAAACTTGAGTTTCTGAGGATCAGGGAGAGGGAACAGACAAACAGGACAAGGGAATTTGGGGTTCCAGTTCTAGCTCTGTTACCCCCACTCTCTGAGCTCAGTTTTCTCCTCTGAAAATTGAGTGGAGGTTAGAACAGAGTCATTTAATCATTCAACAAACGTTTATTGAGCATGTACTATGGGCTCAACCCTGCTTGAGGCTCTGGAGTTATAACAGTGAGCAAAACAAAGACCCTGCCCTCAAGGAGCCAACATCCTCGTGACAGTTAGCTCGTCTCGAAGGCCTTCCAACACTGATATCTGGGACTTGATCTATCCCAGGCTTGGCGTTTCCTACTCACAGGAGAGAATCCTACGGTCCCAAGGCCCGGAAGGCATGCAGCCCTGGGGCTGCGGGCAGAGGCCCTTCCACAGGAAGACCTGGGTCAAAGTGGGCAGCCAAGAAGGAAACAGCCTCGTAGGGGAGGTCCCCAAAAGCCACGCCTTCCCTGGACTGCCCATGCTCGGGAATGAGACAGGAGGCAGAATGAACCCCATGGGCTCCAGAGCTGGGCAGAGATCACCAAGGGGGAAAAAAACAAAAAAAACCATGGCCAGAGAAGGTGGCCCTTGTCCTTCCCTTGTTCTTTTGGTCTGTGTGTATGTACATACACATGTGCACACACATACACACACACACACACATACACACACACACACACACACACACACACACACACACACACACACACACACACACACACACACACACACACACACACACCAGAGACAGCATAACCTTATCCCAGCTGTCCCATGAGACACACATAAAACTGTTCCCACTGAGTCACCACGGTCCCAAACCTTGTGCCCAGGGGAAAGAGCACTGTTAGAGGGCTCTGGTTCTCCCACCAGGAGAAGCAAGGCTTGGACGAGACCCTCCCGACCTGCTGGTGCTTCCGGGTAGGGACAGCTGGGCTTCCCCCACTGTGCGCCTCTGCTTCCGCTCAGCCCCCCCTCACAGAACCCCGTGAAAGCTCCAGCCGCCTTCTCCGAAGCCTTCCAGCTCCTGACCCTCTGCCCCGTCCGGGGAAGGCGATAAGCTAACGAGGTAGTGTCTGCTGAGCTGATGAGCCTGGCAGCTCAGTCTCAAAGGGACAAGGTGACATGCCAAGCCTGTGACTTAGTTATAACAGCTCCTCGCTCAACACACTCTCTCCTCTCCACCGCTGACAACGCCTGAAACCGTGAACGTGGGAGGGGTGCCAGGAGCCCTGGCTCTCTGAGCCTCTCACCCCACTTTCCAGCTCTCACCTCCAATCTGCAGAGGAAGAGAATGATCACCAGTCCTGGTGCTCGGGGCTGCCCTCATCATGTCCAAAGTGCTTTTTGAAACAGTGAGTTTTTGGAATGCTTACTGCTCCGAAGATGGCTGGCACATGTGCCCTGTATGAAACAGCACCCACTGCCCCTCACTCCTCTCTGTCCCTGTCCTTTCCCTGACCTGCCACATGTTTCTACATAGTACATATCTTCACTTGATATACTGTGCATTTATTGTTTATTTGCCTCAAGTATTTGTTGCTGTCGCACCCCCCCCCTTGCTAGAATGGATACTCCATGAGGGAAGGAAAAAAACTTTCCTTTACCGCTGTGTTCCCAGTGCTTAGAAAAGTGCCTAGCACATAGTAGGTGCTCAACAAATGCTTGCTGAATGAATCGTAACTGCTCAGCAGTGCTAACATTTTCATTAATATTATGACTAGCCACTTCCTTCCTGCCCTCAGGGGGGTTTAAAAGGAGGGGTGGGGGAACAGAGGAGGTAACAAAACATCGATAGTGAGTGACGGCGCACCTACCACGTGCCAGGTGCTGTGTTCGGGGTCTCCATACCATAACCTATTTAAGCCTCACAACAGCCCTATGTGGTAAGCAGCACTATTCCCATTTTACATATGAGAATGCTGAGGTTCAGAGGCTACGTGACTTTCCTATTGACTGACGGCCAGTGTTAGCAGCAGCACCAGAGAGGGTCCTTTCCCTCCTCCCCTCCCCTCCCCGCCCTTCTCCTCCCTCCCTGTCGGCCTGTCATTCTCTCATTTCCACTAGGTAACCAGCTGGGCGCACAGACCATGGGAAGCATGGTAAAGGGGGAGAATTCCTATCTCACGCAAAGGGCTCGTTTGATCCTGAAGCCGGCCATGGGGGAGGCCACGGCACAGAAAGCACCTTGGGAAGAAAGCCAGCTTCTCAGGTTGACCCAGCTCAGTTAACACAGAGACTGCAGCAGTGGCTGAAATAAATACCTGAGCACTTAGAATAATTCCTTTCTGGGCCAAAGAAGCCTCTTGCTGGAATCTGACTCTCCTCCGGAACCCTATTTTGGTCCCTGGCAATGAGCATGCCCTTCTCCCCACTCTGCCCAGCCTCTCAGGGGCAAACTTTTCCACTCCCCATCCTCTGCACTCAGCACACGGCCCACAGAGAGACAAGAGCCAGCTGCCTTCCGGTGTCCTGTCAGCAGAGCCCTCTCCCCAGCCCAGCCGGGAGCGCATCCCAACCTGCTCCCGGGCCAAGGCGACGCCAGAAACAAGGCTCTTTCTTTCTTTGGGCCATGGGACACAGGAGCTAGAACAGTTCAAGTCGGGATTGTGGGAATGCCCTTGATATCCCAAGATGATGGACTATCACGTAGCTGTTACAAGTAATGTTTAGAGAAATATGGGGGAGATGCTCACATTGATAGTGTTTTATGCAAAAAAGTTGGAAATAAACGTGTGCATACATCATGCTCTCAAAGATATATTTTTAAAGGAAGAGGAAATGTCTGGAAGGAAATACATCAATATATTAAACTGACATTATCCCTGTTTTCCATATGAAATGACTGATAGCCATTTTGACCTATAAAAATGGCAACTACAGGCAGTGTAACCTAATCTCTCTGGGTAACGGCATTACAGGTAAACTTTTTCCTTCCTCATTATTTTTTAAATAATTTAAAACTTTTATACTTTGGGTATATATTAACTCTTATGCTCAGGAAAATAGACATTACTATAAAATAAACACATTAAAAATGTCCCAGCTATTTAGCATGGGCTGGTCACCCTGCCGCCTCCCTCAGTCTTCACAGTCTGGGGGTACCCATGCCTTCGGCACCTTGCTTCCACATGTGTGGGCACTGACGGAGGCATCCGATGGCCTCATACACTTAAACCTACGTGCTGCTTATCATAGTAACATGGCTAAAGGAGGGATTTATCTCAATCCTTACAGGCAGGCTGAGCTGGCAGCCTCGGGACAGGGATTTTAAGCAGCTCTGCTTGTCAACCAGCTAGCGGGATGGAGGCCCAAAATAAAATGGATTATGGCAGAAGCCCAGGTGAAGACAGGCTGCTAGCTTCTTCTGTCCCTTTGGGCCTCAGTTTCCCTTTCTATTTTAGTCTTGTATGCCTCTATGTAGTATGTGTATACGTGTGTGTGTGTGTGTGTGTGTGTGTGTGTGTGTGTGTGTTTCTCAACGTGAGGCTCTTGCCCTGGTGTGTGCTCCGTGCCTCTGTCTCTCCCGGAGATGGAAGCTCTCAGCTGCAGCTGCCTCCGTCTCCAGGGTCATTTGGCCAGCATTCCTCTGGCTGTGCTACCTCAGAGACACGGCATTGTTATCAATCCAGCCTGTCAGGCCTCCAGCCAGCTTGACTCCTGCTTGTTCTCCATCTGGAAGGGCTGAGAGCCTCTTCCCCTATCCTGGAGCCTTCTGGAAGCTCAGCTCAGCCTGGCCAGAAGACAAGCCCTCCCAGAGAGCTCAGGGAGGGCAAAGGAGAGCCTGGATCACGGTGGAGAGGGGTGAAAAACGGAAGGTGAAGCAAATCAAAGCTCTGTGCCTTTGCAGAACACAGAGCTAATTCTAGGGGGAAACAGGAAAACAGGGTGTGGTTATACCTGGCCCAGCTCCCTCCCACGAGCAAGCCAGAGGCCACCTGTGTCCATGTAAGGAGCTACAGTCAGGGTCGTGGCTGCCAGCCAAGGCCAAAAGAAAGAAAGCAAGGACCAAAAAAAAAAAAAAAATCAGCTCCCTGAAAACAAAGACATTCCCTCCACTTCAGCTTCCTCATTGGTAAAATGCAGGGGTGGGAGGAGGTAATGAAGTTCCTTCTTGCCCTAACACGCTATTAGAACTCTCCCCTACTCCAGCTTATCAGCTCAGAAGTTAGGCACTCCAAACAAGAATGTAAAGGAAGCAAGAGAAATAGAAGACATTGGCCAGACGCTGTACTGGAGAAACGCTCCTCCCAGCCAAGTGGACAGGGGCAGAGGGGGCCCTTAAGGCCTACAGTCAGCAAGGCCTCCATTAGACCCCACTGGGATCCACAGGCCTCAGCATTTCTAGGTCAATGGATATAGCCAGCAAAGGTAAAACGGTAGGGGCTGCTGGGATGCTGGGTGGGAGGAGATCCCTGATGCTATAAGGCACTTTCTTTTTTTTTTCAATTCATTTTCTAGTTTTTTATTTTTTAATTCCAGTCTCAATGCGGCCTCGTTTTTATATTCTTAGTTATAGGGTTTCTGTTCAGCTAGTCTTCAGATGA